GTTGATTGCAAAGATTTTCTTGCATTACTAAAATAATATATTATTCAAATTATTGATCATACGCAAACTCCTGATGGAGTATCAGCCGAACCAAAACCTAAAATCTATTTTTAAACACCAAATGTAAGCAATTTTTCATACACGCGCGTAATGATAATATGAAAATATAAAATATTCATCATTTGAATTTATACCTATTTGCTATTTTATTTTAAGTAATAAGTAATGTAATAATAACAAATTATTTTTGAACAGCGGCCCACCGGGAAAGTTCCCGGTTTCCCGCCGGCCCAGTCCGCCCCTGAATAGCAGTGTCGCACACAATATTTCAAAAATATTGGTTTAGTTAGAATACTTTATTTCTACCATACATACCTTCTCATCTTAAAGAATTAAAAAAAAATACTCTAGTGTTTAGAGATCTCTTCTAGATTATCCATCATATTTAAGAATAAGAAATAACGGAGTTTGAATTTATAATTTGTGTGTCTCCTCAATCCTTGTAAAATTGTAACCTATATTTAACATATGCTTTTTTTATTTCTTAAATTAATATTATATATTTTTTTAAATCGAATTTTTAGAATAGACAAATATGTTTAAGACTAGTTCCTAAATTATATAGATCGGGCTAGGAAAGTTCATAGCTCATGGTTCATTTTTTTTTTATATTAAAGAGGTAAGTAAAATAATATCTATGTAAAAAAACCTGTAATAGGTGCGACTGGTTGTTGGTAAATTCTTAAATAACATTTAAAGTTGGTCAAATCCAGAAAACTTAAAATTTTGAACACTTTTCTTAAAATGTAATCAATATTTTGTGTAAATTAATTTCATATCATATAAACATTTTATATCATTGGATCATATTTATTATAATTTAATTCTGTTTTCTTTACATATATGCATAAACATTAAACGTATATATTTTTTTTGGCAACATGAGCCATTGGGCTTACAAATATTTAATTAATTACAAATGTTGTCTACTTTTTATAATTACTATAAATGGTTATTGAATCTTAGTTTGTATAATTATTATGTAACAATATCTCTCTTTTCAGTGACGTAAGAAGCCTGTTATTTGCAAATTTACTGCATCTGTAGTGGATGGACATTATTTTTTAGGTTTAGGTTAAGCTTAAAAAAATGGTCATCAATTATTTGATTCATTTAAAATAAAATCCAACCAACATTTTTATTTGAAACGCGGGTAGAGAAAGGTTTGCCGTACCTGATACAGAGTATACCAAATAGTAATTCTATGAAATCATCTATGTTGCACTAATTAATCCTGTGTTTTAAAAACTCACTTAATTTTGTATGAACAATTTCAAGTTGGTAATTCTTTTCATCTTTTAACCAAAACATAAAATATATACATATATTTTTAAATTAATAAGTGTAATGTTTTAAAATAAATATTAAAAAAAAAATTTGATTTTCTTCATCACACAGTTAATATAATCAATAATAGTAAATCCTTGATCCTTGTGGTATACCCTATACAACATTGTTTAAATCATACATTTTATGGTTGTAATATAACTGCCAACTAGAGATTAAATATTATAACCAACATTTCTTGACCAAAATGCAAGTGATACAGGTATAGTTTCACAAAGCCAATCTCTTTTTTATCAGTGCTATTTCTTTTTTTCCCTGTTAAATTAATTTCACAGCCAATCCCATCTGTTATAGTATCTTCTAAAATTCTCCTAAATAGTATTGAGCAAATGGCAGTTGACATGGCCACTTGTTTGTTATGGATAACAGCCAATGTAGCCAAATAATAAATAATAATGTAAAGTTTGTATAGCTATAACAACAACTAGCTAAAAAACAAACTTTAGGTAAACAGAAATGCATGTTAATTAAATTAATTTAGTTTAAAAATGTAAATAATTCATTAAATAATTAATATGGAACAAAAAAATGTATTAAATTTAACTGTATTTTGTACAATGTATGTTGCATTTTGAACATTCACTCATCTAAATAAAAATTCACGAACGAAAATCATTTAAAATAAATGTATTATATTTTTATA